GGATTTCACTCAAGTGGCACCTTGGCTTAAAAATGCCTGTCTGAGGCCCTCTTTGGAACCTATACAGTATATGACCTAACTCAGGAAATGTGTCGAAGCTTACGAATGGGCGCGTATTCCCGATAACGCCTGCCGGACTCCAGTCTGGCCTCAGTATTGGTCCAGCGCATCTATCGCGTAGCCCGCTTGCGTTGGGAGCTCACTGGAGGCCAGCTACTTAAACGAAACCTCTGGCGCCAGACGAGCATTACCAGAGAAATGGCAAAAGGAGTAGTTAATCGCTGCAGCCAGGTCTGCTACGCACTCGGTGATGCAACGGGCTGGACAGGGTACCGGGAGGGGACGGTAACTTTAAATGGTGGACCGTCGCACACGGTGGTCATTCCGCTCCAACGCCGTCTGGCGCACAGCTCTCTCCTGTGATTCCACGAAACTACAGTAGGTGGACTAACTCATGAAATGTCAACCGAAATTCCGAAATGCGTTTTCGTTTCGAAAAGACTTTTTAAGTAGGGTTGTAAAACTAGTCAGCCCGTAACGTAATTCTATAATATTTTAGTTACCTCAGAATGCCGGCTTTCGAATGAACTTCCTTCCGGCTGCATGCAAAAACCACACTCTGTAAAAATGACTACTTATGTAGCATGAATTTTTCTCATTGATATTCGATGCCCCTAAAATTCCAATTATATTTCATGGAAAACATGCATAAAAATATCCCTTCTTTTGCTTATTCGGTAGATAATTATGTATTCTTCTAATTTTATGCTCGAAGGAATGGTGTAATTCCGTTTTCAAAAACTGTTCCAATTCCCGATTGATTTTGAACCCGCTCTACTATTACACTTGGATTCAGGGTTTCCAAACTACAAGCCGTACATTTTCCGCATACGGAAAACCACACATTTCTCTGCGATAATAAAGGGGAATCGTATAGGGTCCATAAAATTTAGTAGTGGATTTCATCCATATCGTTAACTTTACGAACAACATCGGTAAAAGCAGAGACATGACGCTTTATTAACGGCCATTTCAGGGTATTTAAAAGTCCTACAATTAGTAACCTTTTTAAAATTTCCTTCGAGTATAACATTGTAAGAAGACGTAATTTTCTGCGGAATGAGCAAAACAATGAATACGTTTATACATGTTTTCCATGAAATATAATTGGAATTTTAGGGGCATCGAATATCAATAAGAAAAATTCATGCTACATAAGTAGTCATTTATACAGAGTGTAGTTTTTGCATGCAGCCGGAAGAAAGTTCATTCGAAAGCCGGCATCCTGAAGTAACTGAAATATTATAGAATTATGTTGCAGGCTGACTAGTTTTACAAACCTACTTAATAAATCTTTTCGAAATGAAAACGCATTTCTGAATTTCGGTTGACATGTCATGGGTTAGCCCACCTACTCTACGTGCTCGGTGATGCAATGGGATGGACAGGGTACAGGGAGGGAGCAGTAACTTTAATTGGTTGACTGTCGCACACGGTGGTCATTCCGCTCCGACGCCATTTGGCGCGCATCTCTCATCCGTGATTCCACGAATCTAGGTTGAAGGAAGTGACCGAAACTCGATAACTGCCTCGGTTGGTGGGTGCAACCAGACAAAAATAGCTGAAATGTTTCTGCACCTGGTTAACTTTTATACAATTTTGTTTAGCGGAGTACAAACTGTCGTGTTATCATCCGCGTGCAGGAAGGTCTTTTGTGTCAGACGTGTCGTTGTACCCAATCACGCCTGCAGTTGTCGTTACTGCAGCTGTCAGAATCTGAAGAAGTAAAATCCTTACGTGCAAATTCCTCATACTTAGGCCAAAACTGCTTTCCGGGGATTGTGGTGGTCATCTCCGCGTTCAAGGATAAATTAGTTGTGCAGTCCTAAAAGCACCGCTGAGGATGGACACGCGTCTGGACTATGACACCACATACATCAACACACGGTCCTCTGGGTGGTGTTCACGTTCCGCCTGGGTTGGAGAATCGGTACCTTATTTTCTGCCAGCAAAGTCAATTCTGTTGATAAATCCTAGTGGGTTCTCAGAGAAGAGGTAAATTGGTAGGAATCCAAATCACTACATTCTGTTATTACTAGGATTGACAAGGCAAGCCAAAGGACTGCGTCCTCTAAATAAAAACAGTACGCTCTTCTGTATACTCGTTATTTTATTTTTAATTGTTCGCGACAATAGTCTTCTTTCAATTTATATCAATATGTCTCTCGGTATATTTCATTTCCCAAGATGATTTATGAGATATCAATGAAGCATATCACACTGCCTTTAGCCCCTTTTCGAAATCTAAACTTACCCTTTGAGCGCCGGAAGCAGAATATAACCGACTGAAAACGCCGTACTGTAACGCTCGTATATGTTAGGACTTGTTTCGCCCGATATTTTTTAATCTTTTATTACTAGCCCTGGATTCTGACTTATCAAGAGTAGTCCTTGTAACAATTCACAACTTCATACCCACAGAAACAAGCCGTGAATCATACTCTACGATATACTGGAGCCACGCTGGGCATCTTCCTTATTTTCTGCTTTGATACCCTACCATTTGTCGAGGGGATACCAATGTTGGTGTTAGTATGCTGTGCTTTCGTTGGCTCAAAAGGAGCTAGGCTCCCTTTATTCGTTGACAGGAGAAAAAGAGTAGAAACATGCAAAATTTGAATTCCAATAAGTATTCGTGAAGGAAAAAACTGGGTATTTTTAACAATAACTTTCCGGAGCTGACATTTTTGGGTTCCTGGTTGAACGTTTTGCACTGAGGAAACTCAAGTCAAAAGCCTACTTAGGTGGCTATTAAGAGGAAGCTTGCTAATGTCGTATTGGACAAGACCAATTGTATTCCGAAAGCCAGAGCTTGCGCTGCGTCTACCTCACGCCCTTCCCCTCTCCCCTCCTGAGCCCGGTGTCATGACTGAGTCAATAAAGCCGAAGACGAGAGAGGGCACAGGTGGCTGGCGTGGCGTGAGTCCGCACCTATGTGGGTTAACACCTCCCTGGTCCGTGAATAATTGGCCGGGACTTCACACAACGAAAAATGGGGAGGGGCAGCTCGGACCTCAACTGAGTGCCGTAAAGGTCACACTAAGAAGAAGCCATTGCAGTATGACTCTCAGTCCACCAGTCTGCCCGACAAAAAGTACTGGCCAGATTTTGTAGCCTTCGCAATGCGCACAGAGAAGGAACACCTCACCAGCTCACTACACTTTGCAAAGATAGACCGACCGATGGACGTCTTATGTGGCGGTTTCGGACTTCCATAGACCTAACTGCAGTATCAGGCAGCACGGCGAGTTCTTCAACGAAGTTCTTGTTAGAACCTAGGGGATTAAGTCAGCTATCGATGAGATTATAAAGTCTTTTGGCGTCAAGCCCGCATTTATTTCTAATCCTCGTGAGTAAGCAATCCAGGTGATCGAATAACCCCTGAAAAAAAATAGAGCAGATCTTCCCGGACGCTCGGGATGCTGTTCCGAAATGTATTTAATGTTGGACAGAACAGCATACAAGCAGGTGGGAAGAATGCCAGTAGTTTAGCCGAGTTCCTGATTTATAACCGGGTGAGTCATGCAAAGTTGGGAGTCACTGGCTTTCCCAAACCACAGACCGAAGATCTTGGCACGATGTGTGGGCAATGCCTTCTTCGTCACCGAAGTAGATCTGGTATCAACATTTGAAAAGATGTCTTCCAGCACACATACTTCGTGGTACAGGAGGAACAGGTGTCCGAAGGTTGTAGGGGCCTAGGGACGATAAAATAGCACCATGCAGGTAATGGACTTTAACGGTAACCGCCCAATCAGTCACAAAAGCGTTTATGTAAGAGTGCTTTAGCAGCGCTTTCAGAGCACTTCAGAGAACCGAAAGAAGTAATTTCAAAAAAATGCAATACCCCCAACGGTTATTCAGACAGAAGGACTGCTTACACGCAGAAACGACACGAGAGAAACAAATGTACAGAGTCCACTTTTTACTATACGCTCCTACTTACCAACTAGTTTCCGGAAACCGTAGGTAGCCTTACTGTATTGTTTAGAATGGGGACAGTGCACAGGTTGTACGCTGGCATCAAGTGATGGAAGTGAAAAACCAATCGCCCCGGCATAACAAACCAGTATTCGCTTACTGAATTGGGTTCCTTGAAATGTGAGTACTCCAATATTCCTTATTGAATTCCGACTTGGATCCTGTCTGTGGAATGCTTTAGGCATCTTTTTTCCACCTCTATTCATATCACCTTCATTTGCACCGGGGGACCTTTTGACTACCTTATCGGCCTTGCAGGACTTTTACGAACTGTTCAGAGATAAGATGCTTTCTTCTCAACCACTGGGTTCATTAGAGTCAATACTAAGCTCTGCTTCCACGACTAGCCGTGATTATGGGTCCCAGACAGCAAACACTGTGTTTCAAGATCGAATCGGACAACCTGACTTGTGGCCTTTGTAGCAACTGTGGGGCGTATTTTACCGACTCAACGAAAACTCAGGCTCAGATATCAGATTATCGCCCGATTGACACCAAAAAAATAACAGAAAGGAAGCTGTTGAGATAGGTCAGGGGTCCGCTTCCTAAATCGAAAATCACAAGTACACGCCACATTTCGGTGGGACGGCGATCGTAGAGGACGGTAGAGGAGAGGGGAGACTCAGTACAGAAAGATTGCATCATGGTTCAGGAGAGGCTCTTCTACACCCAGGTTGGGATTTATCCCGTCTTTTTCAGAATGCATGACTGGGAAAAGGCGAAACCAGGAAGAGAAACAGCGTCATCCTAGCACATGTTGTTGATTCGGGGCATCGTGTGACCCCAGCGAAGGTTCTCGTGTGATTTATAACTTCCCATCCAGTTACCCTAAGCTGCAGGATCATTTTCTGTGCGCAAAGGAGGAAGCGGATGCAATGAGGTTACGAAAGCCGCTCTTGTGTGCGCAGAAAAACCTCGTTCAGGCTGCGCGTCTACCGTAGTCAAAGGTCGACTAACTACATGCAGCTCTCCCCCCCCTTCCGGTTTCACCTCACCTCGTGCATTGGCCCTTATTACCCCCCCCCCTTTCCCCCTAATCCCGCAGCTCACCTTTGTTCTAAGACGAAATTTAATCGCTCTCTCTAATCACTGTCATATTTTGCTTGACCCCGTTCCCATATAAATGTACTGACCTGACGATAATTTATCGAAAGCAAATGCATGCTCGCCAATTAGTCTTCTGAATGCTACAAATCTGTTTACGCTCGGTTACTCCGGCGTCTCTAAACCGTATCTATCCACAGACGCGTCCTAAGCACAGTTATATCATAACCACAATAAATAGGGCCCCGTCATACGGAGAGTTTCCATCGAGAACTTCGCCATTTCGCTAGTGCACTAGAGTTGCGAAAGTAAAAGACACAAAACGTGCGTGGCTGGAGTGGTCACTTAGGGCTTTGTGGCCGTTGTCAACCATACCTCAACGACAGGTTTGCATGACTCGATTCCCGAACCCAGATTTTTTATTAGATGTTAGGTCAATTTCTATAAAATTCGTAAACTATGTTCCCAATTTCGATAACTGAGGTGGAGTAGAAGAAATTTTGGCAAATGCACAGAATAGGATGACAACCTATGAATTATTTGCTGTCAGCCATACTACAATCCCAGGTTTCACAGACCCGTGGGTTAAACCAAAGTCCGGTTTGTCGTGGAGCTTAGTGCCCTAAAAGTTAAAACAATAAAACGGTGCACTGTCTACTGCGATCAAAACAAAGTTACACCTATCAGCTGGTCTTATCTGGAGACGGGCTGGCAAGATAACCAAAAGCGGTTATTCCAGTAACCCCTCTCTTTATTGCCTATACTTCCAGATTACTCATTCCCTATTGCGGCAAGATCTTACTTCGTAGCCATACCTGTTAGGGGCTAGGGGTCAGAGTTAGGGATTAGGGGTTGAGATTATGGGTCCGGGGTCAGGGCTGAGACTTGTCTACTGCAGGTACGGCTACGAAATATGATCCTACCCTGATTGCTATGGGATCGTTCTGCAGGGCTTTAGATGTCACTCCTCAGTCGAAGCGAGACGTCCCCAATCCGTCTTACGCTCCGGCCAGATCGATGAATGACCTTCACAAGAATAATCTGAAGACAGAGGTTTCCAGTCAATCGGTTCATCTTGGATCACGATGTTCCTGGCTAAGACAGGCGGTCTGTCCAGTTATCTAAAAAAAACAGCTGTTCGCTTCTCATATCAGGTTATTAGCATAAAATGGCTTCTTTTGCGCAGTAAAATATTGTCCCATTGGCATGCATGCCCCGTCCTTTAGCAGTTCTACTTGACGTCGTAGCAGATGCGTAGTTGTTGACTTTGGCACGTCGGCCCTCTCAGCTCTTAAAAGGTCGATATAGCCCACCTAATGTGCTTCCCTTTGCGCGAACCACTGGCTCAACTACTCCACTTGACTCACCCATTCAGCTTTGACCAATCAGCGAACAACAGGTTGATTATGTGCTCATAACCTGCTATTCTCGTCCCGTCCCCCTCCCCCCCCCACCCCATCAAGTGGCAGTCGCCGCACTGGCCACCCCTGTTTCAGCCGATCACAACTACGGGGGTTGTCCTGTCGGATGATGTGTCCCACTGGCGTGCTCGCCTAGTCTAGGCGCCCCACGAGGGCCGAGGTTCTTCGCAGGCCGTATGACTGGACTTCCAGTAAAACAGCCTCCTCGGTCGTCCAAAACGCAGGCATTCTTTTCTGCCTTGTCGTCCTGGATTTTGGCCTCCACTCGCGCCATCCGAGGTAGACAGAGCGATGGTCCGAATTGTTGATTTTGAACGTCCTGCCCGAATGAGTGACGGTTGCAAGTGACCGATGGCACAATTAAAGTGAGTCCACCGGACCGTTCTTCGAATGTTTTTCATGGCTTGGCACAACATAGTGACCATAGTTCAGGGTTTTGTCTCACACTTGCCGGCCCGAACTCCATGTATGACACTAAGCTTGCCTGTGCATTAATCTCTGTCATTTTGGATGTCGAAAGTGCTGGAATCCTCTCTCTCGGCATTCCCTCTTCTTTAAAATTAACCTTAAATGTTCTCATGATAGCGTTAATAACCCTACACGACCAGGGTAGAAAGCAATGGGTCACTTGTGAAATCTTCTGGAGGCACCTATTGAAGATTCGGGAAGATAGGCCGGTTTCTCCGCCAGCAGCTTTTGAAGTATATGAACACTCCGTTAGTGTTCACGTAGTAGTATGGTTAAGAAAAAGAAGGAAGGACCAGGCCTAGGAGTGGCGCCGGGGTTTCAACTACCCGGCCAAATAAAAGCATATTTTCTACTTATCTCGTGACTGCTGTCCGTGAACAAATGACTGTGAGTCAAGCAGAGGGAACGGCTGTTGCTTCAAGAGATTCACACTTGGAAGTCACGTCTAGACGTTATCCTACAACTTTACTCGTCTAAGCGCCAAAGGACAATCATCACATTGGGGTTTTTGGTTTTCCGTCACAACATAGCCACCTCAAATATTTCAAAACGCATGCAGGAACTGCTGCAAATGTTGATTTCCCTACTGTTACCAAAAAGCTTGCAGAAATGGAACCACAATCCCCCTCGGAATCACCCATGATCTCGCATATCTTTAAGCTCATTTGGTTATTTAAAAAACTTCGGAAACTTCGTTGCATCGTGTGTGGCATTCTGTTTTTTGGCTGTGTATTCAAGCTCCTTGGCACAGGAAATGTTCACCCGCAATGGTAAACAGTCTGGCCATGACGAAGCTTCGACGATTTTGCGATCTTTTGCTTCATGCGGCACGTTTCTTACCGTCTCTTGCTCACGCCAGAGCAACACTGGGTCTTGTGAATGCTGACATGTCAAGCAGGTCTGCAAGCAGGCTGTGGACATTTTTGATAAGGCAAAATCAATAGACGGTTGGCAGGCGGCCATGTAACGGCTGATGGCGCAGGCAGACTCGTACATGGTTTCGCCAACCGATTTTTCCTTTACGCAAGCCACCTATTAGTCTCCAGCAACACCTGTTGGTTTTACTGGAGGAACGCAGAAGGAGAAGAGACAGAGTTTGTGGTTATTCAGACTCCCGAGAAATCAGTTTCTAGTCCTTCTCACCCTCAACATCATAATCATCTGCTTTGGTATTGTGGCGGCCTGTTGTATGTTCTGCGGTTGCGTGCCTTATAACTGCCGTCATCGCTTAGTGGAAGCCTTCTTCCAGGGCAGTGGACATCATGTCCAAATGTGACATCAGCCCGTCGTCGGGGAACCATGTTAACCTTGAGTACGTTCAGAAAGCCCTATCAGCACTACAGCTCTGACTGTTCCTCCCGTTTGGAATTTTTAATGTCGATCAGAGGTTTGGTCGTAACATTGTTACAGCCACACTGTACGAAACGTTCGTGTGTGCATTAATTCCGCCCTGTGACCACCTCATGTTGGCTCATCGGGGTTTTAATAGAAGGGGCCACTTCTACCTTCTCCAGTTCCACAGTTTCTTCAACTCCATTCGTGGAGCTATCATGCCAGTTCTGTTAGTCGTCAGTGCATCGCCACTGTACGTGCACATGGCAGTCCTACACTCTGAAGTCCGCTGTCTGCAAGGCCGTATTGATCTCCATCCCCATCGGTAAACTTCCCACTGCATACATTTCCTTCTTTATGACGTCACCACCGGTTAGAAATTCCCAACCAACAGGGTCATGTTCTAAAATGCCTTTCATCTGGGACCGTCGTAGCCCTGTTGCTATCATTATGCACATACCATTTTCCCTGTGCCGGCAAGGCTTAATCAACTGCCAAAGCCCAACAGCAAAATTACCAGTCCTGTCAATTTTTTCATGGGCTAATAGAGAGTCTCCGGTATCCTAGGACCATTTAGAAAACTTGAGAACACTTTTCAGACGACATGAAACCTATTCCATATTTTAACTCAGTACTTTGGACAGGGCCTTCTACCACCTCAACCTACCATACTTCATCGTGCCCTGCGACCTACAGAGCATGCACTTTTACGTTCTGGTATTACCATCCTGCATTGGTGTGCTAAACCCACTTGTCCACATTTGTCTCGGCTAGAAAGTGCGCGAAGTAGCCTTTGCTCCAACACATCGCACTTTGAGAACGCGCATATCCTCCACGCTGCTATCTTCGGCGGACTCAACTCTTCACCAGTCAAATGGGCAGCAGAACAGAAGTCAGTTTAACGGACCTAAAAATTCCGTAAGGGAAGTGTCCTCGTGCTGAGAAGTCTAGATTCGTATCCCGTTTTCGCAGTCCCAGCTGCTTTTCTCTTCACTTTGAAACGAACGTTTTATGTCCTTCCTTTCAGAGCAGTCGGTCAGGGGACCTGCGTCCATATCGAGCACGTTGTGATATCTATTCCACACGAACTTCTCGTAGATTGGTGTTCGGCAAGGGTATGGTTTATGGTCGGCGTTACTTACACCAGCAAGCAAGAAGGCTAAGAAATAACTGACGATATTTATTTGTACGTGCCAGAGAAAGAAATAAAAAGACATCGCGGTGGCTGTTTCATGAAAATGATCAAGATGCTTTAGGGTAGTCACTGGAGTAAAAATACGACAGTGCAATACCTTTTTAACAATGCCCGCAAAGGGCATTAAATTCGTTTACTATTATCATTGAAGAAGAAGAAGAAGAGGAAGAAGAAGAAGAAGAAGAAGAAGAAGAAGAAGAAGAAGAATAAGAGGAAGAAGAAGAAGAAGAAGAAGAAGAAGAAGAAGAGGAACAGTAACAGGGACAGGAACAGGAAGTGGAAGAGGAAGAAGAAGAAGAAGAAGAAGAAGAAGAAGAAGAAGAAGAAGAAGAAGAAGAAGAAGAAGAAGAAGAAGAAGAAGAAGAAGAAGAAGAAGAAGAAGAAGAAGAAGAAGAAGAAGAAGAAGAAGAAGAAGAAGAAGAAGAAGAAGAAGGTAAAGCCATCCCTATTAACCTTTTATTTATTTATTTTTATTTAGCTGACTGTGTGGACCATTTGACGGTCCGGGTGTCTGTTGCTCTCTGGCATAATAGTCGCCATCGTTTGTCAGGGAACTGATTTGGAAGATTTTGCGTCGCAAATGCCCATTCCCAGACCACTGATCGACTAGTGGCAAAGAATTTCTCCCATCTATTTAATGAATGGTTCTTAAGCAGTCAGCGTCCTAGCATTACAAAGCTATTCCATGGCACCTAATGCATTTACAGTTAAACTAAACATAACTGGCTGTCATCTAAATATGATTATTATAGGTTAACAGACCGTAAGTGTATTCCGAAGTAACAGTAAACCGGATACGGATCTCGGAGATAGCCATAAGTCCTAGTTAAGATTGCCCAGTTAGGATCATCAATCCCACGCAGGTGGTCTTACCTCCAAATCAAATACAATCAACCCCATTTCGATACTCGAATGCTATAGCAATAGAAGAGGAGCCACTGCCGAAGAAAGGTTCACTCCTGGCCTGACGTTTTACTTACATACTAGGGACATTGCTACAACGAACCTGGAAGGTCCTAAAAGGCTGTAGTCGGCCACAATATTCCTAATTCAGTGCAGACTGAAGACGGCGACCCCTTCGGAGAACCTGGCCGACAGTGATAAACGTGGATGCACAAGTACCAACTGGCGGTAGTGTGGTTAGACAGGAAGTTGCAGGTGGCAACCAAATCCTTGCAAAGGGGTAAAATATTGCTTTAGTATAGTTTGGGTAGCGAACTGGGGAGATAAAAACTCCCTACGGTAGGTTTAATGACACAGCTACCATATCTTCTCTATATAAACCATAACCTGTGCCTGGCTGCGGTCTGCGTGGCTTTGCGCCACTACTCACTAAGAAGACAGGCTCGAGGAGATGTCCGACAAAACATGCGACGGTCTGGTCAACTACTTATGGTTGTATAAATCACGAAAGGTGTGACACGAAGTTCTGCTGAAAGGAGATGCAGCATTCGTCCTAGCCGTCACTGAAGCCCCGGACAACAGGCCCGATTAGACGGTCGACCTGCGCAGTTTATTGCATCCTTCTCAGACTAGACAGTTTCAGAGGCGCAGTAATCGGATTTGCAACAGGACACATCAGAGTACAGGTTCATTTCTCCCAGTGATCTTCCCCTGTGACAGACTGGTCCAAGTTGAGGTCCATCTTAACTTTTGAGTTTGAAGGCAAGTTACGAATGTATAGACTCAGACTCGGCTTTCCACCTCAAACGCGATGTCCTATCGCATATCTAGCAAACCGAAGTTCATAAGGCTGAGCAAGATAGTACAAGAGGTTAAGTGGTCGTCTGGCTGTTGGGCGGCCCTCTAGACATTACCGACTTAAAAGAAGGCGAATGCACGATCACTGAGACAGTAGATTTATTTGCCTGAGCTTTCGAACTCGAACTGGAGTTCATCATCAGAGACTTCTAGAGCGCAGCAAATTGTGAACATTTATATCGCTTGTCCTTGCGGGGGGGAGGGGGAGTACGTCCGTGGCTAGGTAGGGTTTGTGCCGCCTGGTCCACGATGGGCCCCCCGGCGTGGTGACGCCGTTTGCACTTCGTGATGGTGTGAGCTTCGCCACCTGGCTGCGTGGGCGGAGCGCGTGATAACACGCAGGCAAATCGACGTGTCTATTGATAGAGTTGGTGTCCGACATGCACGCCTCCAACAGCTCTCGCCCTGTCTTGTTGCCGGCTCGCGCCAGTATCCGCGTGTTGGCGAAGTCGAACTCATGGCCTTCCTCCAGCGTGTGAGTGGAGACTTGAGATAATGGGTCACCTCTTCGAACGGCCCGTTTGTGCTCAAATATTCGTGAGCTGAGACGTCGTCCTGTCTGGCCTGTGTAGTGGCAAGGACAGTTTTGGCACGGGATTTGATAGACTACGCCCGACTGTTCACCTGCGTCCAGCCGATCCTTCATTTTCATGATCCTGCTACGCATGGTGGCCGCCGGATGATGAGCGATGCCCACGCCTAGCTCTGACGCAATGCGTTCGGTAGCCTCGGACACATTCTTTATGTACGGTAGGGAATGCCAAATTGTTGCTGTCTCTCTTCCGTTTGTCCGGCGTGGGTGCATGCGTATGCAGCGACTGATTAAACTATTTGGGTAGCCGTTCTTTGTTAACTGGTCCCGGAGATGCCGTAGTTCTTGCATCCTTCCTTCGGACTCGCTACAGTGCGTTTTTACCCGGTCGGAAAGCGCCCACACACAGCCCCGTTTGTGCACCAATGGGTGGTTGCTATGATAGTTGAGGACCTGGGTTGTATTGGTCGCCTTTCTGTACACTTGAAGATGGAGACACGATCGCCGGGACAAGAGCTTTATTAGCCTGACGTTTCGGATTCCTACTCGAATCCATCATCAGCGACAAAAAAGCAGAAACGGGTGGTTGCTGCACAAGGGGCTGCGGTATTTATAGGATGCAGTAGCCATGCTACCTCATACCTATGAACATTCACGGCTTCCCCCTTCATCCGGGATCGTCACACTTGGTGTGATCACTGCTTGATGGCCGACATTCGAGTCGATAATTGCTGCAATTTCATCAAGTGCGTTGGATGTTGGCGTGATGATTGCTCGACCATCTGACGCACCGACCCCGGTGTTGGGAAAAGTGTTCACCTCTGCGCTCCCCGCATGGCTTGCTACTCCGCCTAGGCGAAATTTTAGCACGCAGTATGGAGTGGGAAGATCGTTGCACTTGTTGATGGACTGGGGGCCAGTAAACCATGATTCCAGTAGCTCCCGGCTCACGCGGTTGTCACCTCTTGCGAGAATTTCGGCCTCATCGAATTTGAATGTGTGGCCGGATCTCGTCGAATGAGCCGCAACTTGAGAGCTGGCGTCATTTCTGCGCACCGCTGCCGCGTGTTCGGCCATTCTTGTTCGGAGCTGTCTTTCGGTTTCTCCGACGTAGTTGCTTTGTCCGCAACTGCACCAGATCCGATAAACGACTCCAGACGTTTCTAGACGTGGCAGTGGGTCTTTCGGTTTCATGACCAGACGTTTGATGGTTGCCTCCGGTCTGTGTGCCACTCCAACCCCAAGTGGTGCGAGAAGGCGGCCGACAGCTTCCGAAACGTTCTTGACATACGGAAGTGCCCGCCAAGACTTGGTGTCCGTGCGGTTAGGCCTTTCGTCCCTTTTGCGTATTCACCGGTCGACGAAGTCGCGCAGGTACGCTGTACACTGTAGTGCTGAGTTCACCGTCAGGTGTGCGCATGACGAGCACGTCCAGGAAGGGTAGTTCCTAGTCCTCCTCGTCTTCCCTTGTAAACTGAATGTCGGGGAATATGCTGTAAGTAAGTCCTTTTCAATAATGACGAATGTATCGTCCACGTATCGGCACCAAAACGCAGGTTTGTAATGGCTGAAAGCAACCTTTTCCGGCTCTTGTAGGACCAATTCCGCAACTAGGCTGGATATTGGGGAACCCATGGGTGTTCCTTTGATCTGTTCGTATGTTCTGCCATCGAAGGTGAAAAAGGTTCGCTGGCTGAATGCAAAGAGCTGCATTAGGTGCTGGATCTTTAGCGGCCCTGTCGTTTCGTCGTACTTTTCTTCGAGGCGTTTGCGTAGCACTTCGCGCTCCAAGTCTGGTGGGATGGACGTGAAAAGTGAGACAACGTCGAAGGATGCCATGATTTGGTCGGGTCGAATAGTTTTTCCCCGAATGTCGGCAAGGAATTGGGAGGCCGAATTGACGGACGTCACAGAGCCCTCTCGGAGAAAATTTAGCTTTCGGGACATCCATTTGGCTAAATTGTATGTGGGGCTGCCTTTCAGGGCAACGATTGGCCGCAGAGGAACGCTGGGTTTGCGGATTTCCGACTTATTGCTAATTTCAGCATTTTGTTGACAGACCTACTAAGTTCAGAGTTGCATAGTTCAAAAGGGTAGTAAGTCAACTTTCTCCATATGACTGGGAATCAAGCGTGTTAGTCAATAATAATCGGATTTGCTGTTCCACTTTATGCGAGCTTTCGTATGCACAAACGAGATCGATGCAAACCCTAGCAGTTTTGGTTTTGGGGTCGAAGTCGGACGCAATAAACTGTCTGGAGTTAAAAACCCATCTTGGCGTAAGCTCCTTCAGCGGCTAACTTGTCTGCACTTCTCCTACATTACAGTTATTTGGTATTCACCGATACTCTCTAAATTGACGGAACGTAAGTAAGTCAGCCCACGCAAGCGTATGTATTATTCATCGTCATGACTCCCCACTAATGCATATTTTCTTAAAATACTTCTTGGTAATTATTACTCTTCGGACTCTTCCGCCAGACTTGCGTGCATAAATAGTCAAACTGTTGGCACAGGACAGTGTTCATTTTAATTACGATTTAATGGGACACTAGTGTTGGCGGGTGTGTGGGCATGAAGGATGTGGTAGAGGAAGGTAGAGAAAAGTGAGTATCTTGGCTCATGAATAAGGTGATGGAGGGGAGGTAACGACTAAGGGCCTCGGGTCGTGAGGGGCGCAGGCAGATGAGGAGAGATTAACGATCACATCAGGGGGAAGAAGGCAAAGCGAGGGGGT